GTTGTTTGCCATTTATATTAGAATCGTTCGCATAATTATTTCTATTGCGCATTTTGGTTCGGTAGGTACGAATGTAATTCATTAGACGTTTCCCCCAAGGAACTCGTCATTTTGATTGAGTCCCAAATTTGGCACGGTAATGGAAGCAGAAAGACTTGGAACTGGTGTAAACGATAAATGGGACACGAATAGCCATTCAATACCCCCTCCCACCCCAACTTACGTGAGGACGTGACTCCCTTTGAAGGTCCTTTTCTTCCAGTAATTTTCTTAGAGTTTCAACGAACATGTCAGGTGTCATTTACATTCTATGGTGGAATTTACTGATTTTTTTGGAACACGCGAGTGGAATTCTAGCTGAAAGGCAGGGAAATACCATCAAAACTGATTTACTCTTGGTTGGAGGTTAAAAAATGATCACTTTTTAAAAAATATTTCCTTTTTTGTCAGTATTACTTGTCGAATTCACATTCAAACTATCAATCAATCAATCAATCAATCAAAACTTTATTTATCGAGGGTGACATTAAAATAAATAAATAAACAAACAAACAAATGAATAAATAAATAAATAGATAGATAAGCCACATCAGCCTTAGCTGGTTTTCATGCATGTCCTTTAACCTTTTCGAATTGGAATTTGGAAATGTTGGTGTTTGTGGAGGGAGGAAAACCAGAGAACCGGGCGAAAAACCCTCAGAGCAAGGCGAGAATCAACTACAAACTCAACCCACATATGGCACCTTGTCAAAATAGAACCCGGGATATAATGGTAGGAGGCGAGCGCTATAACCACTGCGCCATCCCTGCTCACATTCAAATGGCAAAGAGTACAGAGCTGGCCCCCTCGTTTACTTTCCTACATTTTGTCGTTGTTAAAGTTTGCGATCGTAGAACGCGCACTAGGGGTAACAATACATTTCTCGGCATGTTTTAGTTACCTGTAAGTCTAATACTGGCCCCAGCAGGCAACACACTCGTTTCTTGTAAGGAGGGTTCCTAGAACCAGATGGTTCACAAGAAAAATCATCTTCAAGCTTTCTGAAGTTGTGCGGACAAACGTTTCCTTCTTTATCTTCGGCAACAAGGCATGCTGCCCAGTCTGTGTCGGCGATACCACTCTTTCCACACTTGCCAGAGACTTGACGATCTATGAGATAACAGAGATGACAGAGTAACCAAACGCCATTTATTTCATAAGTATTTAGATTTGCTCATGAAAATCGTAGGCGATAAAAGCCATGTTAGTTCAAAGCTTAGTCAATCAGGCACGTGAAAAATGAAATTTTGCAAGTGAATGACCAACGTGTGCCCATCAGCAACGTGGACGATCAAATTCCACTAGCACTATGAATGATCGTAGAAGGCTGCAATAACAGCAGCAGTTGTTCCAAAAGTCACGCTTTGAGGAATGGCTCAAAGAAAATGCCTTTCTTGTTTCTTGACGGTCTATTAGTATTAAAGTGTTCATCTCACGTCAAAAGCGTTATGTCCTGTTATAACACTTAAGGACAGGTACATATGCTTCTAAGTCCCTTTGCTTTCGTTCGGTTTTTGATCTTGCTCAACTCGACAATAACAGTCGCATGGGCGCATTCTCCATGGAGTGATCTCTATTTTGGCACGATTGATACTGTTAAGAATTGAAATACACACAGATAATGTTTTGAAGGATTGTTATTTAATTAATATATGAAGTTTTTGTATAAACTTACCCGAAACAAATGCAGAAACAAGTAGTAGAAGTAGGGTTGAACTAAGAAAGTTATACATTGTCTTCTATCTAGAAGATCAAAAATAAAAGTATATCTTTATAACATTTGTAGTCACGGTAGACAAATGATATGTGAAAGACTGTCTGAAGCATTCATTACAAAATTAGGGAGTTTAAGGCAGCGCGTCCACACTACTCCGTAGAAATTTGAAAACGCAGCTTTATTTTTACGGTTAAGCCTATTGGCCATACTAGTCCGTCACGAAAACAGAGTTTTTCGGAAACCCTTCAAACTGGAGGAATTTGAAAACGCCGGCTATCGTTTTCGTGTGGACGGAAAAAATTTTTAAATTGGAGCTTTTCGAAAACGATGGCATTACGATAATCAAATGATTTACCTGACCGAGTTTTCCTAAAACACAAATTCAAAATGACCAGTGATTGTTGCGTTTTTAAATTCTCCGGCGTAGTGTGGACGGCAAACATTTGATACGTTTTCAGAGTGAAACCTACGGGCGCTTTCCATTCAACACAAAATTCGAAAGGGTACAATCCTGGGAAAGGTTCCAGAAAATCCGAAAATTGTTGAATTTCCGATAAGCGAACAATTCAACCGAAAATTCATAAATTCCGGGAGGAAAGTCAAATGGAACGGAAACTGTCGATAAGTAATTTCCGAAAATTTCCGTATAACTCGCAAGGTTGTCCTTTTTCCAGAAATTCCGGAAAATTCTGTTCCATTCGCCATGGAAAACGCCCCTCCGTTTACAAATTCCTCCGGCGTAGTGGGGACGGGGCAAACTGCGAAGGCAACAGGAACGTCACTAAGGTTTAATGTGCAGAACAGTGGCCGTGTACATGCGTTATAGATCTACCTACATTCCTTAAGCGTTCACTCCCAAACAACAGTGACGTGAAATGAAGACATTCCGCGTAGTTTAGGGAGCATGAGCCTCGCCAGCCAATTTTGAAAATCATTTTTTCGATTCAACGCTGCCTTATATCAACATTTTTGAGATAGCTATTGTAGTAACAAACTGAACGACTCACGATTACCGGGAGTTTCGTAGGTGAAATATAAAATAATTTTTCAATCGGCCTTGGTTAAGTCGGCCTGTCAACTTTTGAAAATTCACCAACACCCCGGACGCTGAATGAAGTCAATGCGTTATTTGTGAGCGAACAACTGCGTGGAACTGTTTGTTGGGTAATAATAAAGCCTCGTCTACATGAGCAATTTTTATGTGACAATTTCTATGTGACAATTTTTATATGACAAATATATTTGATCGAGTAGAAGGCACAGCGAATCAAAGTTGAGTGCGTCGGTGATGACTTTGGACAGCAGAGATACGCAGAAACAAGGCGGGCCTGCTTAGACGCCTCCGAAAATCTTGGTGCTTCCAAACATATTTGCCACATTTTATGTGACGAGTCGTCTACACGAACAATTTTTCGTATGTGGCAACTTTTATTTGTCACATAAAAGCCAACACGTTAGCTTTTCAGCAAATATATTTGTCGCATAAAATTGGCCAATTTTCTTCATCTGCACGGGCAAATAAGAATTGTCACATCAAAATTATCACATAAAATTGCTCGTGTAGACGAGGCTTAATTGTTTGAATCTGACCAAGAATCGCGGTTTTTGATAAGGTTTCCCAAGGCAGAAAAGGGAATTTAGAGATAACTTCTTGTTTCGTTTTGTAAAGATGTATTATGGTTATGTTTTAGTATTGTTCTCGTTGAGATTGTAAAAGATAGCCAGTTGAAAAGTATTAGTCATTTAAAAGACAATTAAAAATTGCAACATTTTAACAGATAGTGGACATTGCAAACTATAGCAAAAGATCTGATGACTAGGATACCAAAAAACACCAAAACTCTGCTTTGCTGTACTTTTGAATTGACTACTAGGCTGAAATGGCACACTATAGGTGCATCATTTACAATACTCACCCTTAAAAGTAAGGCTCGCAGAAAGACAAACCGTCAATCTGAGGAATTTTTCTAAAAGGAAAACGATGGAACTACTCCTGACTCCAGCGTACAACAGAATCAATGGCGATGAGTATATTACTCATCCCACATTTCATTGGTTTTGCTTCGTAATTGTTAGGTCATAATTATTCACAAACAAACACCGTAAAATAATTCACCGGTACCAGCAAAATACCTTGAATTACGTTTTTAACTAAGCTATTGTAAAAGGGAAACAATGTTCTCAACTGTAAGGAAAATAGATAAAAATGCGGTTGAACAAACTGTCTTAATATCACAAGAAATTTATCAGATAATGAGAGAAGAAAGATTTATTTATCAGGATCAACTAGAAAAAAAAAAAACGATTTAAATATGATTCATTAATGAGAAATCTTTTACCCTTTGGTTCTGATTACTTTGCATTGGTAATTACAAAATTCGCGCGGTTCAAAATTTATTAACTTATAATTCTAATAAAACTGCTATTTTGAAGTCAGCCTTTATTTTTGGCTAAT